ACCAAAAAAGGGGGGGGGGGGGGGGGGGGGGGGGGGGGGGAAATGCGAATTTTTTTTTTGAATTGTTCCCCCCCCCCCCCCCCCACGCACACACCTACGATTCGCTTGCTGTGCTCCTATAATGACAGTCAATCGGAGTGATAAGACATTAAAAAAGTGGGTTTGATATCATGAAATAAACATGAATGTTAAAAGCATCTGCCACCTTAGAAATACCTATTATCATTTGAATTATGTACCAGCTAGGCGGATGAGGGGAAAGGTGCCAATGGTATATCCTGGAATATTGCACCCTACTTTTTTTCATCAAATTTAAATTGCAAATGAACCAAGCCGACCTATCCATTCCCAGATTTTCCTCTTCAGAATATCGCTACAGCTGGTGCTAAAACGCATTTAAAGCAATTACATATTCCACGGGGAGATGTCTCAATTCTGTAAAACACAACAAAAAGACAAGATATCTCACAACGCTGTGATGTTTCAATTAAGCTAATGGTGCTATCCGCCCACGGTGTACAATGCTGCAGATCTGTCTGGGAGAGCTGAGGTTAGAGCACTGTTGAATAAACCAAGATGATTTGAACTATCAACCTTTTTAGAACAGTGCCCATGAACAGAGCTGATTGCAATTGAATCGCTAGATACACATGATGTAATTCAAGCAAATAATGCACTTTTCTTAAAAGAAAGACAAAATGGATTGATTAATTGGCCCTGTGGTGTGACCCGGGGGAAGTTTATTGCAATCAAAACCCGCTAAGAGTGGCTTAGACTAACTAATGCGATACCTTAAGCAGGATGTAATATGTTAGTTTTACAACATAAACAACATGTCTCGATCCATTCACTGTATTTTTTTTTGAAAGTCTGCCATCAATTCAACATTCTATGGAGTAATAACAAACCAAAACAACTCATACAGCAGCCATGTCCTCTAATATTTTCGATTTCTGGGAAAAGATCAAAACAAAAATGACTTATCCTAACATTTTTTTGTATGAAAACATATCGATGGGTAATTGCCCCTCTGCTTTATTCAAACTAACAAGAGGTGTGCCAGAACGTTTTGGATATGTAGGGTGTCAGGGCTTTTGCGCTCAACTCCTCTCGTCATTATTAGACCTTATAAACGGGTTAGGCGTTTAATAACACTAGCCGCAGATCTTTTAACACTAACACCCTTATAACCACAAAACCCACAAATTAACCAGCACTACCAGAATGGATGAGTGTTAGTGCTAGGTATCGTTTTGTTAGTGCTAAATAATTGTACGGTGTGGTGGATAATTAGTGAGTTATAAAGTTTATATGGGGTTAGTGCTAAAAGATCTGCGGGTAGTGCTAATAAACGTCTAATCCGTTAATAATGCCTGATTTTTGGCGTCAGGTTTGGGTGAAACTTACCCCGAGCATACTGATGGTTAGCAAACCACATCCCCAAGACACAGGTACAAGGCATTTGTGGCTGAAACAGAAATAGTTCAATAGTTTAGGTTGAAAATAAATAAATAAATAAATAAATAAATAAATAAATAAATAGCAGAATTTCTGGTAATAGACTGGGCAATGATAGTTTCAATCCTAATAAACCTGCAGTTCACTCTCAAGTCAGTACCCTACTTAGAGCCGTGAGGTGTTGGGGTGG